AAAGCACAACTATCAAGTAGGAAACTAATGCATCCTATGAGATAGCTCTCCTGGGCAACGGTCCTCACTGACAGGAGTGAACAACATGCTCTGAACCCAATTTTCATGTAGAATTAAACAGAACAGATGAAAAAGTGGAACACTTAATGATGGCAAAATAACCACACAGATGTGACGATTAGTCCTTTCATTTTATTGAGTCTCTCATATGTTTGCATCTATAGATCTGGATTTAACAACTGTTCTCTTCTGTCTTGGACCAGAATATTTCATGCCTGCAAAGGTCTCCATCTCCCCCATCTTTAATTTACTTTACATCACTGTACCCATTATTCTGTTTATTTTCTTCCTTAAAATGTCCTTGTCAATTAGGTCCTGGACTAATCCAAATGTGTTCTGTCTTCTTCTCTTCTTCATATTTCCCATCAATCCTTCTCCCTTGTCTCTTCAGCCCTTTCTAATATTTCTCCAATTATTTCCCTTCTAATCCACCTCATTTGACACATTCTTCTCTGACACATTTCAATTATCTCTAGTTTCATTTCTTTGATTTAACCTATCATCCATGTTTCACATCTATGTGTTCTTTTCCAGAGGTAAACTAATTTCTCTTGACAACAGGCATCTCCTCTTATGAAATCTATGTTTCCATTTCTCCACACCTATTTTGCTTTAATTTCTGCTCTGTTCTCCACCCTGTGGCATTTTGTTTCTGAGTTATTTCAATATTGTTATTATATTTGGTCATTTTAATCTCTCTCACACAAACCCTTTGCTCTCTAGCCTGAATTGAGGAGGCCATAATGTCCAAAAAGACCTCAAAAATTGTTTTTGTTGGTGACATTTTACTTCTTTCACTACACCTCTTAGGGCAGAAATCATGTTAATACCATTAAAGGAAAGAGATTTCTTGTCATCATGGCTATGTGATTGAATCAATCAGATATCATGTACCCAGTATGATAATGCCATGGTACTACATAGCTAGGGGGCGTGGTGGCGCTGTGGGCTAAACTGCAGATGCCTGTGCTGCAGGGTCAGAAGACCAAGCAGTTGTAAGATCGAATCCTCGCGACGGAGTGAGCGCCCGTCACTTGTCCCAGCTCCCGCCAACCCAGCGGTTCGAAAGCATGCAAATGCGAGTAGATTAATAGGGACCACCTCAGTGGGAAGGTAACAGCGTTCCGTGTCTAAGTCGCACTGGCCATGTGATCACGGAAGATTGTCTTCGGACAAAACACTGGCTCGATGGCTTGGAAACGGGGATGAGCACCGCCCCCTAGAGTCGAACACGACTGGACAAAAATTGTCAAGGGGAACCTTTACCTTTACTACATAGCTAAACAGATCTGGGTGCATGACAGATACTGTGACAATACACCAAACCCAATTCTTTGTGCAGCGGCTGTTCTTGAATCTGAGAATTTCTTTGTCCTTGTGTCATGGAAACTAATTGCTAATGGAAAGGTGGTCATTTTTTCACAGGAAATAATGTATTTGGAATGCCATCCGTTCCCTATTTCAGCAAAGCCTTCATATATTATTATATTATTGTTGTTATGTACCATCAAGTCACCTCTGACTTGCAGTATAGTGACCCTATCAATGAGAGATCTCCAAAATCTCCTGTTCTCAACAGCCCTGCTCAGCTCTTGTAAACAAGCCTGTGACTTCCTTTAGGGAATCAATTCATCTTATATTTGGTTTTCCTCTTTTCGTGCTGCCTTCCACTTTTCCCAGCATTATTGTTTTTTTCCAGAGAATCCTGCCTTCTCATGATGTGCCCAAAGTAAGACAGCCTAACTTTATTATATATTGTATACTTTATTATATATTATACATGTGGATTTATGTGAAATAGCCTCTCTCACACATACGCACACACTTATCATGAGTTGGTTATTATTATTATTATTATTCTCATGTAATTTCTTAGCTAGTGGTTATATTTTTGAAAGTTAGCTCTTTGTCCTGAAAAATGTCTCAGACCCTAAGAACCAGAAACACAAAATATTCCATGGAATTACTGGATCCCCAGCTTAAATAACTGTGCTAATTATATCTCATAACAGGTTCCCCTAGAGCCTCAATTAGGCCCACTTTTAATTAGCTTTTAGTAGCGCCTGACAACAGGCATTTGTAGGACTCTTCTCTAAAGCATGCCAGATAAACTTTAACTACAAGATCATTGTCCTCTGGCTATTAACTAAGTAGTCATTTTAAAAAATATGTAGAAGTTTATGTACTTTTGTCTCGAAAGATTTTTGAGGCCATAAGAGTTAGAAAAGCATAAGTCTGCACAGATACCACTAGCGGCCCAGTTCAAATACCTGGATTGGTTCTACCTAAGGATTGGTTCCTCCAGAGCTGCAGATTTCCCTACGTATCTGCCAGTACAGCTTAAATTAAAAGTTTAGTCACCCTCTGGTCTTCTAATTTCACATCAGAACTACATCAGATGGGAGACAACACACAGAGGATTACACTGATTCAAAAGAATATTTTGTTTTTTAAAATGTGTGCTCCCCTCCTCCAACTGGATTTACCAATAAATATTGTGCATCAAAGAGAATGCAGCTCAAGTGACAATGGTTGCTCTCATTGGACACCCAGCTGAGGCTTCCCTCTTTGCTCTGACTTTAGCTGCAGACCTTTTAGTCCCTGCACGGATTCTGGGTGGATTTCCCCATGAATTATATATTGCCGTGAGCTAGCCCTCCTGTGATGCGAAGTATTGTGGGATTACTTGATCTTGAAAGGGCAATAAAGGACCAACTGGCTTTGAAAGGCCCATTTATGGAAGAGATGTGGACTGTTTTGTTCCCTGGCACTAGGAAAAGAACTGTTGTACAATATTAGATTTGTGGTTTTATGCTGATCGGGAAGATATTGTATCTATCTCCTTCTTTTTCTCATACTATCAAAGTCAAACTAGAAGATACACTTAGCACATTTTTAGAAAAGATCCTCACTCAAGTGGTGAAAAACATCTGTTTTTTATAGCACGTCTTGCATTGAGCATGCTTTATTTTGTCATGCTGAAACCTATATTGTCCAGCCTCCAAGCAGCTGTTTCTTGGAACTAAGAGCTTGCACCGCTGAAGTTTGAGTGCCACTGGAACCATCTGTTGAAAGGATAAATTACTTGTTACTCAGTAGGCACCAAGAATATCCTGCACTTCATTATCTGGCAAGTTTTAATACTGGGATTGTGCCCTGTCAAAATAAACTCTGCCAGTGGAATCCACTTTTTTGGCCAACACCTACACAAACCCAACATGTTAGTCATCTGTCTAAGGGTCATGGGTGTGGCCATTTCACTTCATACATAAAATGATTAGCTAATGTTGTATAAATAATAAATAACTAATATTTAAAAACACCCTATTTTATTAGCACTGCTATTGTTCCTTATGATGTCTCTTTCATAAAAAAAAGTTATTGAGAAAGAACATCTGCTTTTGCAGTCCATGTTTCAATAGCACTTCCAATTAGACAACTGATTTGATTCATGGTTTAAAATTAACTACTTATTTTTATTATAGTGTCTGCAGGTTGAAATTAAAGATGTTGTTGTTGTTGTTGTTGTTGTTGCTGCTGCTGCTGCTGCTGCTGCTGATGATGATGATGATGATAATAATGATGATGATGATGATGATGATGATGATGATGATGATGATGAT